CAAAAGGTGCTTCACGTGTTATTCGAGATCTCCTTTCAGCATAGATAAGCAAAAATCTATCCTCGGTACCTAAAGTCGTGTGGGTTTTCAGCAATAATTTTATAGACATGAAAGGTCCATCAGGTACCATGAACTTGGAGGCTCCCAATATAGTTCAACTCGGCCAATGAGAAGCAATTCCAAAATGGTTCTACGTATTCCCAACCAAAACCCTGCTGAATTCAGTATTCCAGATCCTCAAAACAAGTATACCATATGTGCAATAAGTGCAAATGACAGGGATGTTTTGTGCTAATTCCATTTCTTCTTTTCCTTACATATATAAGATGATCTATAGATCCTCATTTCAAATCATGAATTCAATACCATTTGGTCCAGGAGTTCAGATTATTTCTGCATGTAGAAACTTGAAGTTTAGTTTATTTCTTTATACAAAGATTAAGAACGATTCTTTATTCGTGAATCTTGAATATTTATAAGTTTGATGATTTAGGTTTGATGCTATTTAATCTCTCTCTACACGCTCGTGCGCGCACACACTATAACAATACAATTGCAGGGGAAATTCATTAGGCAGCAAAAATGTATACAGTGGCATGAAAAAAATTGAAGTGAGTACACTCCACGTCTATTTGATTGAACGAATTGATAGAATGTGACACCAAAAAAAAAAAACTCAGCAAGAAAATGTTGAAATAAAGTTGTAAATACCAAGTTTGAATATGGATAATTTACGCAATGAATGCAAATGGTCAGAATGTTTTGTGCTAATTATCCATATTCCATATTCGTCTCTCCCCATTTTTTGATGTTATGTAAATCTTGTACATTAATAATTTACATAAAAATATAAACTAGCAGAGGTAATAAAAATGAAAAATCTAATCAACCAATATTACAAATATAATTCAACCGTGAGGCCATGCAAATCACGTGTGATGCATGTCCAAGTCACTAACACATTTTTACATCATATTATCATTTCCACATTTCTTGTGGATTTGGTCCTTTTTGTCTCCTTCTAATAATTCCTTCCTTCAAATAGACATTGTACTTGCATCATTTGAGAAGGCAATTTTGTTAAGCCATTGGATATGTTTTTCCCGCCTAATCCATTTTCCCCTCAACTTAATTGGATTTGTTTTTCCACCTATCATATATATATATACACACACATATATATTGAGAAAGGTAGAAATTAAAGGCCAGCAGACACGTGGTCAAAATTATATATAATTCCTGCATAGCAACTTATGTCTTTGATGGATCGGGGAATATATCCAGTTCTTTCAATGTGGGTGCAAACGAATTTTCGTCGATAAACCTTTTTCTCCCTGCAATAACCACCCGAGGTTCAACAGGGAAGAGAATCGTAGTTTACTCAATAGATCACAGTTTTTATAGCAATATCATTTTAAGGATCTTATTTGGTTATGATCTGGTGTTCATAGCTCCCGTGAAAGCTCGAAAAAGCATGCATCTTCTTCAAACTCTAATAATTTAACTTCTCAAAAAATTTCATTTGGGTTTTTGCCTACTTTTGATTCACTTTTGTTGAAGTAGAAACAAATGAAAATTTGAAGTAAGAATGATTTTTTTTTGTTGATCAATTAGTTTATATTTACAATAGTTTGGATTCATCTTTTCTATATATCTATGGAAATAACTAACGAGATCACTAAATTAATAAGAATATAAAACAGATGTTTAAGGTTGGATGTAAAATTAGACAAATCACATTTATACTTAATAATTTTTTTGCTCTGCTTCATTGAGATATTTTGGAAAAGGCTGCCCGATTTTGTAGATCAAATGTCCGTTAAATGTCTGGAGCAAGAAAACTCACGAAGACCACAAAAATCTAAATCCTCGAGAGCTGCTTCACATGTTATTTGAGATTCTTCTTTTGACACAGATAAGCAAAGAATTATCCTTGGTACCTCAAGTCCTATGGTTTTTCATCAACAATTTTATAGACATGAAGGTCCACCAGGTACCATGAACTTGGAGGCCACCAATATACTTTCAACTTGGCCAATGAGAAGCAATTCCAAAATGGTTCTTTGCACTCCCAACTGAAACCCTGCTGAACTCAGCATTCCAGATCCTCAAAGCAAATATACAATATGTGCTAACGATAAGGATGTTTTGTGCTGATTACCCTTCTTGTTTTCCTGATATATATAACCTGATCTGTAAATTCTCATTTCAAATCATGAATTTATTACCATTTGGTTTTGGAGTTAATTTAGATTATTTCTGCATGTAGGAACTTGAAGTTTAGTTTATTTCTTTATACAAAGATTTTGAATGTCTTTGTGTGTGTTGTGTGTAGGCAAAGCCATTCACACGGTGATTAGCACAATACATTCCTCTCGTTTGCACTCATTGTAGCATTTACGACCTTAGTTCAATATTTTCATGCGAAGTTGGTCCCTTTTGTCTCATTCGGTTACTTTCTTTCGTTAGATAGACACGTGGATTGCACCCATGTCATTTGAGAACGGTAATTTTGTCAAGCCATGGGATATGTTTTTCCCACCTAATTCATTTTCCATTCGTCGATAAACCCTTTCCTCCCTGCAATCACCACTCGAGGTTCAACAAGATAATCAGCCCTTCAACTGCACTGTTATAGAATAATCCATTTTCCCTTCATCGATAGACCCTTTCCTCCCTACAATCACCACCGGAGGTTCAACAGGGAAGAGAATCAGAGTTTACTCAATAGTTAAATTGTTTTCACATCAACATCATTCTAAGGATCTTATTTGGTCAATGTCTGGTGTTCGTAGCGCTGGTGAACGCTCAATGACGCAAGCATCTTCTTTAAACTGTAAGAGTTTAATATATCTAAAACTTTTATTTGTGTTTTTGCCTACTTTTGATTTACTTTTGTTGGAGAAGTAGAATGAAAATGAAATTTTTTTATTTATCTGTGTATTCTTACAAAAGTTTGAATTCATCTAATCTATATAAATACGAAAATAACTAACGAGATCACTAAACTAACAAGAATACAAACACATGTCTACGGTAGGATATAAGATTAGACTAATTACATTTATCTTTAATAATTTCCTGCTGTATTTCATTGAGATATTTCTAAAAGGCTACCTGATTTTGTAGATCAAATGTCCACTAAATGTCGGAGCAAGAAAACTTGGGAAGGTCACAAAAATCTAAATCCTCGAAAGGTGCTTCACGTGTTATTTGAGATTCTTCGTTTGGCATGGATAAGCAAAAATCTATCTTTGGTACCTCAAGTCCTATGGTTTTCATCAATAATTTTAAAGACAAGAAGCCATCAGGTATGATGAACTTGGAGGCCCCCAGTAAACTTTAAACTCAGCTAAAATGATGAGAAGCAATTCAAAAATGGTTCTTTGTGCTCTCAATCGGAACCCTGCTAAAAATTATTCCAGATCCCAAAACAAATACACCATATTTGCAATGAGTGCAAATTATAGGGATATCCTGGCTAATTACCCTTCTTTTTTTCGTGATATATATAACATGATCTGTAAATCCTCATTTCAAATCATTAATTTATTACCATTTGGTCCTGGAGTTTAGATTATATCTGCATGTAGAAACTTGAAGTTCAGTTTATTTATACAAAGATTAAGAACAATTCTTTATTCGTGAATCTTGAATATTTATAAGTTTGGCGATTTAGGTTTGCTGCTATTTAAAATTTGTAAATCTCTATATATATGATATATATACTATAACAATAAAATTGAAGGGAATATGGATTAGGTGAGAAAACATATAAAGTGGCTTAAAAAAATTTCCCTTCTCAAATGATGTAAGTACAATCCACGTGTCTATTTGATGGAAGGAATTAATAGAATGAGACCGAAAGGACAAACTCCGCAATAAAATATTGAAATGAAGTTATAAATGTCAAGTTTGAAATGACACAGATTATTTACACAATGAGTGCAAAAGACACGAATGTTTCGTGCTAATTACCCATATTTCATATTAGTCTCTCTTCGTATTTTTGATGTTATGTAAATGTTGTACATTAATGTTTCATATAAATATAAACTATTGGAGTTTATAAAAATAAAAAGTCTAATTGACCAATATTACAAATGTAATTCAACCGTGACGCCATTGAAATCATGTGCAATGCACGTCCAACTCACTAACACAATTTTACATTATATTATCATTCACTCCAACAAAAACAACCTTTCGCAACGAGCAAAAAACAATGCAAAAGTTGCAACGTTCGGACGTATGTTATGGGTTTCGATGTTGTCGTAGAGTATAAAGATACGAAAACGTTGTATGATTGTTGTAAAATATTTTCAAAGAATGTTGTCATTAGTTTTTTGCAATGTTCATAGCTTATTGCTGTTAATGTTTTAACAACGTTCGTTGTACATTGCCATTAATATTTTAGCGACATTAATCGCATGTTGCTGCTAATGTTATAGCAACATTCATCACACATTGCTATTAATGTTTTAGCAACATTCATTGCACGTTGCCATTTTCTACCTTTTTTTTTGTTAAAAAAGTACTACATATATCGTTATATTTATAAATATATTATTTTACACATTTTAAAAAAAATGGTAAAGGCACTTTAATTTGGGCCTAAATTATAAAGAAATATTGAGAATGCTAGAAAAGCTCCTATAATCTAGAGCAGAAGGATGAGCAAAACTCAAATCTTATATCATTTACTTGAATTTTTCTCTCCACAGTGGCCAACCATATATCTGCAAATTAACAAAAAGAACAAATTTCAGTTCTCCCAAACAAGAAGCTAAATATCTAAATGTTAGATACTATAAATAATTCAATGAACATGATACAAAAGATATACAATTCTAAGCCACATTAATAAGTTATACTCCAAGATTTGCTGCCTTCATCAGCATGAAGCTCGACTGTCCCCACTTGCTCTTCGGTATCTCCCCAGAATCAGCAATAATTACTCTTTTCTAGGCTTTCCATTGTAGATTCTGGCTCTTCCCTCAATGGCATACAAGTATCCATGCTTTCAATTACCTAGTCCAAACTGTGGAAACAATGAGGAACTACTCCACTGCAACAAGGAAAACAGTCGGCGAAATGTTTGTTGTAAATTGTGATTTCAATTTCTCAAATCTAAGCTGATGCAAAACATGTGATCTAGTAAGAGGATCCTGAACTGAATTCGAAGCATAGAAAATTGAGATGTTAATATTTCTAGTCCTGTGTATAAAATGGTAAGGAATATCTGATTGGCTTCTTTTCAACAAATACGGGCCGAACAAAAAGTTCTTTGCTGGCAAATTTCCAGGTTGTGATGCTGATGCAACCTCAAATCTCTGCCTCGTTCAAGTTTGATCACACATATTCTAGAGAGTATGACATGGTTCAATTTACTGATTTTTAATTATGATGGAAATCATGCAGAATTACATTATACATAGTTAGGCATTTATGTTGCGGAGTACCAAGTTGTCTTGGTTACTTAATGGAAGCAAAAATGCGCAAGTTATAAAACATTCTTGCAGAGTGGTAGATATAACTATTTACCCCTGTGCTGGTATACTACGTCAGGAGTAGCTCAAGGATTGCAAGTTTGTTACTCATGAAATTACAACAGCCCAGCTAATATCATGTAAAAAACCTTCAAGTTTGCCGAGACACAATAAACACACTGATTTGGCTTTTGGCCTACCTTGTGCATCATGCTTCGGTTGTGACCTCAGTGACGTGATTTGGCTATATGGATTATATTACTTTACACGTTATATGTAATATGATACGCAAGGGACTACCAGAACACATGCTGATTTGGCATTGGTCTACCTTGTGCATCATGCTTCAGTTGTGACCTCAGTAACGTGATTTGGCTATATGGATTATACTACTTTACATGTTATATGTAGTGTGATACACAAGGCACTACCAGAACATGCCACTTTCTAAAATAAAGGATCCCTGGTGATAGCACCAGTCCCATACAAGTCCATATAAGTTAAAGTTCAATTACCCTATATAGTTCACTGTTTTCACAGCAACATCATTCTAAGGATCTTATTTGGTTACGGTCTGGTGTTTGTAGCATTGTTGTACACTCGAAGAAGCAAGCATCATCTTTAAAATGTAACAGCTCAACTTATCTAAAAATTTTATTTTTGTTTCTGCCTACTTTTGATTTACTTCTGCTGAAGAAGTAGAAAGAAATGAAAATTTGAAGTGAGAATGAAATCTTTTATTGATCAATCTGTGCATATTTTCAATAGTTTTTATTCATCTATTCTATATATCTATGGAAATAACTAACGAGATCACTAAACTAATAAGAATATAAAATAGATGTCTACGATTGGACATAAGATTAGACTAATCACATTTATCTTTAATAATTTTCTACTCTACATCATTGAGATATTTCTGAAAAGGCTACCTGGTTTTGTCTATCAAATGTCCACTAAGTGTCTGGAGCAAGAAAACTCAGGAAGACAACAAAAATCTGAATCCTCGTAAGGTGCTTCATGTATTATTTGAAATTCTTCTTTTATCACGGATAAGCAAAAAACTATCCTTGGTACCTCATGTCCTATGGTTTTTCATCAAAAAAATTATAGACATGGAGGTCCATGAGGTTCCATGAACTTGGAGGCCCCCAATATACTTTCAACTCAGCCAATGAGAAGCAATCCAAAATGGTTCTATGTACTCCCAACGGAAACCAGGGGTGGAGCCCAATAAGGCCTAGGGTTGGGCACAGGCCCACCCTGAACTTCTGGGCTCATTTTTTTTTCCTGGGCTCTTTTTTTTTTT